CACCTAGTAAATGTTATATAATTGTTTTTGTTGTTGTCCAGTCGCATCTGATAGTTTGTGACCCCATTTGGGGTTTTCTTGGCAAAGATATTGGAATGGTTTGCCATTTCCTTCTCCAGACAAAGAACTGAGGCAAACAGGGTTAAGTGACTTGTCCAGAGTCACACAGCTAGTAAATGTCTGAAGCCAGATTTGAGCTCATGAACATGAGTCTTCCTGATCCCAAGCCCAGTGCTCTAGCCACTAGCCACCTAGCTGCCCTTTATAAATGTTAGCTATCATTATTATTAATTACAAAGCACTTATCACATTGCCTGGCTCATAGCAAGCATTATATAAATGTCAGCTTAGCAGTAGCAGCAGCAGCAGCAGCAGCAGTAATGTTATGATGTTGAATTCATGACAATGATAGGTTTGAAGCAGTTATCCTCTATTTTTTTGTTTTTCAAAAACCAAATCCTAATAACAGCACATTGTGTTCCTTCAACCTAGGCGAATCTGTGAAAAAAAAATTTCTTCTTTCTTCCATAGAAAATAAAATGTTATACCAAATAAGAGATAGAGAACATTATCAAATGCAAAATGGATAATTTTGATTACATTAAGTTTAAAAGTTTTTGCACAAACAAAAATAATGCAGGCAAAATTAGAAGGAAAGCAGAAAGTTGGGAAACAATTTTTACAACCAGTGTTTCTGATAAAGTCCTCATTTCTCAAATATATAGAGAACTGAGTCAAATTTATAAGAATACAAGTCATTCTCCAATTGATAAATAGTCAAAGGATATGAACAGGTAGTTTTCAGATGAAGAAATTAAAGCTATAGTTATATGGAAAAATGCTCTAAATCACTATTGATTAGAGAAAACAAATTAAAACAACTCTGAAGTGCCACCTCACACCTGTCAGATTGGATAATATGACAGAAAAAGAAAATGATAAATTTGGGGGAGGATGTGGGAAAATTAAAACACTAATGCCTTATTGGTGGAGTTGTGAACTGATCCAACCATTCTGGAGAGCAATTTGGAACTATGCCCAAAGGGCTATAAAATTGATCCAGCAATATCACTACTAGGTCTGTATGCCAAAGAGATAATAAAAAAGGGGAAAGGACCCACATGTACAAAAATATTCATAGCAGTTCTTTTTGTGGTGGTAAAGAATTAGAAATTGTGGGGATGCCCATCAATTGGGGAATGGCTGAATAAGTTCTGGTATCATGAATGTAATGGAATATTATTGTTTTATAAGAAATGATGAGCAGGAGGATTTCAGAAAAACCTGGAAAGACGTACATGAATTGATGCTGAGAACCAGAGAACATTGTACACAGTAACAGCAACATTGTATGATGATCAACTATGATAGATTTAGCTCTTCTCAGCAATACAATGATCCAAAACAATTCCAAAAGACTTGTGATGGAAAATGCTATCCACATCCAGAGAAAGAACTATGGAGTCTGAATGCAGGTCAAAGCATACTATTTTCACTTTTTTTGTTTTTTTCTTTCTCATGGTTTTTTTGTTTTGTTCTGATTCTTCTTTCACAATATGACTAATGTGGAAATATGTTTAACATGATTGTACATATATAACCTATATCAGATTACTTGCTGCCTTAGGGAGGGGGGAGGAAAGGTGGAAAGGGAGAAAAATTTGGAGCTCAAAATCTTACAAAAATGAATGTTGAAAACTATCTTTACATGTGGAAAAAAATACTATTAAGTGCCAAAAGAAAATGAAGTAAATGAAAAAATAAAATTTAGCAACTGTTCTGATGTGAAACTAGTAGACTGCTCCAGACTACTTCAAGTCTAGTATATGCTCTTATGAACCTAAACTAGGCAGGGTGCCATCATGGTCCTTCTGTGTTTTGATAATAAGTACATGGAAGGGTTTTTTCACAGAATCTTAAGATTTAAAGTTAGAAGGGATCTCAGAGACAATCTAGCACATTTAACAGAAAAATCATCTCCATCGGATTCTAGGCAAGGAATCAGCCAGCCTTTCCTCATAAACCAGCAAATCACTAGGGATAAAAACAATTCATTCTATGGGTGCTCAGCACTAATTGTTCAAGTTTTTCCTTACATGCAGATGAAATCTTCTTCTCTGAAGCTTTTCCTATTTGTGTCTTGGTTCTAGAGCCAAGCAAAACTACTTTAAGCCCTCTTTCCTACAACAACCTTTCAAAATACCTAACTAGAGCTATGATATATTTCTTAGTAGTCCCTTTATACTGTTTTACTATGGGCTCGTAGACAGCTCTTCCTTTATCTTTCAACACCTCACCCTCCTCAAAAACTTTAAAACACCTTTTCTAGAGCTCTCCTTTGCCCTCTCAGAATCCCACAAATTTACGTACATATTATGCATTAGAGCTGTAAGCTTCTTAAGGGAAGGCTGGCACATGGCAAACAGTAGATGCTTAACAAATGTTTGCTAAATTTTAATTTGAAATTTTCTTTTTGAAAGAAAATTGAATCACCTGTGGAACAATTAAAGATTTTCCATTTTACCACCAGAGGACACTGCTGACCAAATACTGGAACTTAGCATAAAGAACCAAGTACAAGCAGTTATATACTCTTCCATGTGGCTCTGCAGTAACTCTAAGCTCTCTCTAGCTCTCAGAAAGCTGGTTGCCTCTCTCTAGCTCTCAGAAAGCTGGTTGCCTATCTCCTTTTGCTCTGACCATTTTATGGGTAGCTGTACTACTGTCATTTCTCTAGGTCAGGGGTTTAGTGTATGGATTTATTCAATCAGACATTTTCTTTTTTTTTTCTTAATTGGAGGGGGTGGGGTGATGGGGTGTTAGCAAGAGCTATAACTAAAAAAGGAAGGCCACTGAAACTTTTTTTAACGCACAGAAGAAAAAAGACAGAACTTCAGGAGGAACACAGATAAGCAGGACAGTCTTGAAAGTAATATGTAAATTTTATCATATACTTTTTTAGAAAGCAAGAAGTATGAAATAGAAATTCACAGTTTCATACCGAATCTCCTTTTTGTGTGCTGCATGGGCAGAAATGCCCTCCTTTGATGTTAAAGTTCAGAATTTTAAAAACATACTTTTTTTTTAAAAAGAGAGAATTTTTCCAGTGCATGGTTTTCTCTGAAAGTTGCTTCTTTCACTTCAGCACCTTTAGCAATTTTTCCCCATTTTGTGTATTTACTGGGTGGGGGGTGGGGGACCAAAGATGGCTCTGTTGCCTATTTATTTTTCCAGTGTATGAATTTACTATGTGCTCTCAATTAAATATGTTTCTATTTGTTTTGGGCTGCTACTTAGTCTGGAAGGAGTACCCAAGTCATATTTGCCTTCTCAGAATAACTCCAAACACCCAATGAACCTGAGGCAGCTGACAGTCTGAGAGCTAAGGGGGTCACCAGCTTATTTTTGTATTAAACAATGAGTTGGGACTTTAAGAAATTTATTTTAGAGTCTTAAGATATTTCTGATGTATCACCCTAAGCAATGCTATGGCTGCCTAGCATGCATAAGCTGTCGATCTTCCTTAGGACCTTGTCTAGCTATTGGACATTATCCATAATGTTTAGATTTAGCACAAAATGATGACATGCACAGGTGTAAGACTTTAAGATATATCTGAATGGCTTGATATTTTAACGGTCTTGTGAGTTCCATTAGGGAAAATCATTTTCCTGCATTTCCAAACTCTGTAATCTTTTGCAGTAAATTCCCCTGAGTAGGTCTTGCTCCTCTTGTTCCTGTCCTTAGATAATGCTTTCATGCTCTCATGCTTGACATTCAGCAGTTTTTTTTTTTACCAGACCTGAATATTCTCTGGGTCCACACCTTTTGTTTGGGTATTTACACTTTTAACTACAGAGCCAGAACCCTGGGCCTGGAATCCAGAAGACCCAGTTCAGATCTAGACTCAGATACTTACTAGCTATGTGACAAGTCACTTAACAGCTCACTGTCTGCTTCAGTTCCTTCATCTGTAAAATGGAATAATAACAGCTCTTTGTAAACCCCAAAGTGCTATATAAACAACTTCTTCTCTTTCTCCTCCTCCTCCTCCTTCTTCATATTATTATTATCATTATTATTGGTGTATGATTGGTATATTTAACATATTAGAGCTTGAAAATGTTAAGTTCTACATTATGACATAGTGGAAAGAGCGATGGATTTGGAGTCTAAGGACCTGGTTTTAAATCCTACCTCTGATTCTTTTGATTTTTGATTTGAGATTTGATTTTCTGTTTGATTCGAGATATTTGTTATAACCTTTAGCACAGTGCCTTGCACATAGTAGGTGCTTTAGAGATTCTTATTTTCTTCCCCTCTACTGATAAGTTCGAAATTCTACAAAATGAACTTTTAAGGCAGGTTAGTTTCTTAATGCAAGGCTATTGAAATGGTAGAAGTATATAAAATCCATCTAAATTTCAACTCCAAGTACCAAATGTAGCTTTTAATAATTTTCCCTTTAATGTTTCTCTGCTCTAGTTTTCTTCTAGTGCCTTACCCTGGCATGGATTCTCAAAGGCTAAGCTGGCATCCTTCCATTTCTGGCAGGTCTCAATGATTTTAAAGGGTTTCCAGTATAGCGTAGAATAATAGATTTCGATTTGGACTATCTTCAAAGTCATCTATTCCAACCTACTCACTTTTCCAATGTGGTAATGGGCACAGAGAAGTTAAGTGACTTGTCCAAAGTTACACAGGTAGTAGTTGGTAAAGGAAGGATTGAGGAAAGACCCCATGTCCTCTGACTCCAAATCCATTACTCTTTCCACTGTACCATAGTGCCTCTGTATCTGTCCTCCTAAGACCAGTCTAGCTAAGTTTGAGATGCTTGTCACACACACACACAAAAATTAACACTGGGTGGTGAGTTTCTTTCAACTCAACAGCTTATGAAGATAACATGCTGAAGCAGAGAGAGTATTGGGAAAGGAGTGCTTACTTCACCAAAATAACATATATCCTTGAAGCTTTGAAGTGCTGTCCTTAGACTGTACCTTATGAAGCTGCACATTCCTTGAAATTGTTCTTGTACTATATCTGAGAGAATGTAGTCGAAGTCCTGAAAGACAAAGCAGAAAACAACACACAAAGACCATATTGTAAGGACAAGTGATCTTGAAAGCAAACATTCACCCAAATTTATGCAGCACAAGTAGGAAAAATAATGATGTCTCCTGGGGAGAGGATGGTTTATTTCAGTGTGTCAACAAATATACTGCATTTATTTAAGAATAATTCCCTTAAAGTCTTACCCTGATGCCTCAGAGAAGTGACCTTCAGTTCACCAGCAAAACCAGGGCCTACTGTCTGACAAATCTTCAAGTCTGTTGCCTAAGGATCAGTCTAGCTAAGTTCAGATAAACTCATCATTAGGACAGACTCAGAGTAATGAAAATTTTGGCCACAGCAAGTCTCAGAAACCATCTACTAAGTTCCTGAGGAGTTGTAGACTACCATAGTGGATCCAAGGATCCACAGATCCTTGAAATAAGAATTATAGGATCACAGATTTAGAGCTCAAAGGGGCCTTGAACATCATCTATTCCAGTGGTTTCCATTTAGTGATTTGAGATCTCCTTGTTGGTTATGATGCTGGTCATTCTTTAATGGCTCCTTAAGTAGTAAATAATTATAAGTAATATTATGAGTAGCATATTAATGGGTTTCATAACCTTTTTGTTGTCACTGAAAGGAGTTCATAGAACAAAAAATGTTAGGAACCACTGAACTAGTCCAATTGTCTCATTTTACAGATGAAGTAATTGATCCTCATAGAGGTTAAGTAACTTTCCCAAGGTGACACAAGTAGTAAGTAACTGACCCAGGATTCAAATTCCTGTTTTCTGTGTTCTTTCTACTATGCCACATAACATTTAAATGTTATTTTACAGTTTATAAGACACTTTATCTGTATTATCTTGTCTCAATAGGATTTAAGGAAGGTAAACTGAGGCACAAAGGTCCAAGAACATTCAATTTATTAGTGAAGTGTGAATTTACCAGTAAGTAGGTTCTCGGTTTCCTCAGCAAAGTTAAGACCCTGAATGAGGGGCTCAGCTCTCTTTTATAGTTTTGGGGAGTACAGAAAATAGGAAGTCTAGCATCATAGATGGAAAAAAATATGATTGGATAGATACTGGGAATGAAGACTAGCAACAATTCCCTCCTTCGCCCCTGTGACTAGGAAATGTTCATTGTTTGAGTCCAACTGCATCTGCAAGGACAGAGACAGCAAACTAGACATTCAAGAAGGATAACTTGGGGGTATAAAGATACTAGACCAGACTCCCTTGTGTCCACCTACTTCTTTCAAGGGCAACAGATTTCCTTGACTCAAGAATAGAATATGAAGACTGGATTTCTAAACTTAACTCATTGCTGAATTTCTGAACTTAGTTCAGAGACAAAGAATCATGGCTTAGCTGTTACAAGCCAAAATCAATTAACAGGATCAATTTTTTAAAAGACATAGAATCAATCTGATTAATTCAATCTCTTTTGGTCCCCACAATAATTCTGTTAGGTAGGCAGGGGATATATTTCTTTAAATCTCCTTTTTAACAGATGCATCACCTGAGGTTAAGAGAAGTTGACTTGCTCAAGATCACACAGCCTTAGATGGAAAGTGGTAGGACTTCCATTCGAAAATTTAGTGATCTTTTCATTATACCAGAAACAATTCAATTACAACAGTGATTCAAGAATTAGCAGATCTTATTTTCACATTTCCTTAAATAGAAAATGAAAGTCATAATTTTAAAGCTAATTAATTTTTGTTTTTTCTTATGAATCAGGACCACTCTTACAATTCTGCCAAGGGATATATCAATATGACATGACACTTTGATTCTTCCAATTTAGATATTTCTTGTACTGACAGATCATCACTCTTCCCTGCCTCAGTAGATAGATGGCCATGATTTGCTGCCAAAAGAATGATCACTTGGTGGTCAAACTTTGGGTGATGAGACTTTCTGAATTATCCATAACCTCTCTAAACTGTTGTGATAGTAAAGCTGGGGGCTGGACAGTTTCATTCCCCAAACTGTACCTTGTATAAAACAGGAATTTAAATTGAATTTACTGGTTTATGCTACTTTGAGTAAGGTAAATATGTGGGCAATCTAAATTTGCAAAACATAAAGGAGTGGGAAATTACTTATATTATAGAAGTATATTTTAGATAGCAAGTTCTTCTAGTGTACTAACATCCTTTGGTTTACAAAAGCCTGATATCTACAGATTTTTCCAGAGTTTATCTATTAAACAATACAAGATGTGCTAACTGCATAAATTTAAATGTGGAAAAGCTGCTACCCATTTGCTCCTTCCACATTTCAGAATCTTTAGATACACCTGAAGCTGAGAACAAATATGAGATATTACAACTGCTTTCTTTTCCTCCAGCATCTTAACTACTAATAAACATGGTTCCTGGTTTAAATAATATGTGTGACTTTAATGTGTTGAAATATACAATACTTTATGGGATTTTGAATTGAAGACATACCTGACAATTGAATATGTCAATAATTTGGATGAAGGAAAATAAAATTGCTTAGTTAAGGGGTTAGAAAATTATTCTAGGTGGAGCTAAGATGGCAGATTAGAGGTAGCCAGCCAAACTCCCAACATTCCTCCCTGCCTCAAATAACTTTAAAATAACTACTCAAAATGAATTTTGGAGTAGCAGAGACAACCAGGGTGGGAGGTATCCCAGAGTACATACTTCTGCTGCAGTATTTTGTCCTATAACTGCCTAAGCCATTATTCTTTGTCTCTGAACTTAGTTTAGAAATTCAGCTGTCCAGCAATGAGTTTTAGAAATCCAGTATGAACTGGTCCAACCATTCTAGAGAACAATTTGGAACTATGCCTAAAGGGTTATAAAAACTGTGCATACCCTTTGGCCCAGAAATACCACTACTAGATCAAAGAAAAGGACACATATGGACAAAAATATTTATAGTAACTTTTTGTGGTAGCAAAAAAAAAAAAGAAAATTGAGGGGACGCCTGTCAATTGGGAAGTGGCTGAACGAGGTTGGCATATGATTATGATGGAGTACTATTGTGCTATAATAAATGACAAGAGGGATGGTTTCATAAAAGCACAAGAAGATCTATATGGACTGTGAAGTGAGCATTACCAGGAGACCATTGTACACACTAACAGCAATATTGTAATGTTGATCAACTGTGAAAGACTTAGCTACTCTGATCAATACAATGATCCAAGAAAATCCCAAAGGACTCATGATGGAAAATACTATCTACCTCTAGAGAAAGAACTGATGAACTCTGAGTGGAAATGCAAATCATAGTTTCTCACTTTTGGGGGGGCACTATATGGCTAATATGGAAATATGTTTAGCATGATTTTACATGTATAATTGATATCATATTGCTTGCCTTGTCAACGTGTGAGGAAAGGGCAAGACGGAGGGAGAGAATTTGGAACTCAAAAAAATTTCAAGTGTTAGAAGTAAATAAATAAATATTTTAAAAAATTATTTGAAAACTCTTGGGGGGAGGGGAAGAAAATAACTCCACTAAATTCCAAGGCCACTAAAGTGTGCATACTCTTTGACCTAGTGATACCATTATTACGCTTATACCTCAAAGAGATCAAATAAAGAAAAAGTTCTCTCTCTGTCTCTTTCTCAGTATGTGTAAGGAGTGGGAGAAGGAGAAGAAACAAATGATTGATAATTTTTAAAAAGAAAACAATTTTTAAAAAGAAAATTCAAAATTGTTAGGGATCTGTAGGACGTTGAGGTCCACAGGCTGTTCATGAGACTTCACTGATGGGCGAAGGCCCCTCTCGGGTGTTAGTACATGAGCAGAATGTCCTGGCTCAGTTCTCCGTCCACGGACCTTGCACCTCCCAGTCAGCAAAACTCTGACGCTAGGCGAGTTCAAACTATAAAACAATGTTGCTAGCTCAAGCACAGTCAGCTCTAGCACAAACATGTATCAAGTATTGCTAGCTTATGTATCAAGTATTGCTAGCTCACATATCAAGTAATGGGAACATTCCGGGAACAAGAAGTACATGGTGTCTTTACGGGAACAGCGCGGGAGAAGGACACAGTCACGATAATGTTGCAAAGAAATGTGCTTGTTGATACTTTGATTGGTATTCGCATGAGAAAAATTCTCAGTGTTGCCTATTGGTAAAGATATGTAAACTTTGTTGCTTTGTCCGCTGTTACATTGGGGTATGTTCCCATGAGTTAAAGATATAAAACGCTGTCCTGTACCTTGAATAACGGAGCTTCACCATCTTGTCTCCCTGCCTCTCACTGCTCGGCGCAGGGTATCAGGAACTAAGTTGGCCTTAGCATTCCTGGGGAGGGAAAGTTTAAGACTCTCACAGCCACTGAGCTGGACCCGCGCAACAATTGGCGCCCAACGTGGGGCTGCACAGCTGCCGTGAAGCCGATCAGGAGCTGCGGAGAGTAAGACAGCTTCATGAAACAGTCGAGAATCGTCTGGACAAAGAAGACCCGACACCCACTCAGACACTGAGGTCTGTTGGAGCCAGGGAGGACCTGACTAGTAGCGGTTGAAAGATTACGCGTAGGTAAGATTTATGCACATTACATAATTTATCATGGGGCAAAGTTTAGGTAAACTCTCAGACAAAGAACAAAACGTTCGGGTGATTTATACAGTCATTAAGGAACAGGGGTGCTCGGTAACTCCTAGGAAAATAAGAGAGTTTTTGGATATCATTGATATAACTTCACCTTGTTTACCTAGGGAAGGAAATTTGAACTTGACTCAATGGCAAATTGTGGGTGAACAGCTAACTGAATATTATAACATTAAAGGCCCAAAGTCTGTTCCCCTTGGTGCTTTCACCATATATAATTTGATAAAAATGGGCTTATAAGCTGAAGTACAGGGAGAAAAAAGACAGTTCCCCGCCAAACAACGTCTGCATTAGGCTCTCTAAATGATAGTAAGGAAAATAGCAGGGACCCATCACCAGAGAGAAGAGGTCCAAGGATTTCCAGGTTGTATCCTGATTTGGATGAAAGTAACAAGCAGATAG